TGACATAAGAACTAAATAACTGATTTTTAGCCCAATTCGAAATTCCTAGAACCTAGAACTCATCATGATCATGGTCATCAGCCACGTTTACAACTACTAGACCAACGAAACAGTCAAAAATATCTGCGATTTTTTTTATAAGAATGATAGGTATAACAATGGCGTGCTATGCTTATGGAGTTGCCATAATGAAGTTGTAGTTTTAAAGTTTAGTTATTTAGTTATTGCGTTAAAAAGTGACAACTACATGAATTATTACGCGTTTAATATGCGCAGTACATAATGGAAGACATTAAATTGTCGTTCTGCGCACGGATGCCAATTTTGCGACACCGTCGGCGCTTACATTGTATCGCCATGGGATTTCTATATTTATTCAGTAGAAATCTAATGCGAAAGAATACATTGCAAACTGCTTTTTATGGTTCACATGGTTTAAATCAATTGCTTTTAATCAGTATATGAAATGATGTTATGATGCATTTAATTTGGTGTTTGTCGCGTTTATGACAAAACGCCTATGCATTGAATGACAGTTTAGATACAAGTATGCAACAGTTTAAGATAATGTGACCATGAGACCGAAAACAGATAGATACCAAGTTTTTACTTACCAAACTGAAGTAACAAAATAAATTAAAGTAGAGCTGGTAGAGCCATGCTGCAGCTATATTTTGGTTTTTATTGGATATTCCATCTTAGTCCTCAGGGATGTCAACGTCACCATTTTGATTCTTAATCGAGGGTAAATATAGATGTGTATGGGCCACAGTGTCCACTTACCATTAGATTGACTGTGTGCTCGTTTGTTACCCTTGTTCTATAAAAAAACTGCAGCCCGTAGACATCAGCAACCAGTTTCAAATAATTTAAAATTTAACATTTTGTACAGTCGACTTCAATATAAATTGTTAAGAATAACTCAAAAACTATTGGTCTGCTCTTGATCAAATTCATATGGGATCACATGTGAAGTAATAGTTTTCAAATAAAAAAAAGAATCTCCGAAATCGGTTCACCCAGTAAAAAATTATGAGGTAACACACATAAAAAAAACATGCAGTCGAAATGAGTACCGTCTCCTTTTTGAAGTCGGCAGATAAAGAAAGGCGACAAACTGGCTTACAGTGTGGCAAAATTTAAAAACTAAATAATGTATACTCTTTCTAAAAATAAATTTTAAAAAATTTCTTTGCATCTCTGAGAAGTAAGATAGAACGCCTCACAGTGTATAATTACGCCAGCTCTCTCTACCCTTCACAGCAGAATACGGCTCCGAAAATAACTTTATAAACAAATATAAATAGGTAAAATATAAAATAAATTAATTTTGTTCTGTATTGAACAACGTTTGTAGATGTTTCTATGGATTTATTGCTCGATAATTTAAAATTAAAAATTTTGTACAGCCGACTTCAATATAAGTTATTTAATATTTAAGAATAACTTAAAAACTATTGGTCTGACCTTGATCAAATTCATATGGGACCACACGAGAAGTACCAGCTTTCAAATAAAAAAAGAATCATCGAAATCGGTTCACCCAGAAAAAAGTTCTGAGGTAACACACATAAAAAAAAAAAACAAAAAAAAAAAACAAAAAAAAAACATACAGTCGAATTGAGTACCGGCTCCTTTTTGGAAGTCGGCAGAAAAAAAAAACTCTGTGGCCAAGACTGGATACCTAAGTTATTCCATAAGTGAATTATATAGTATTCCACAAGAACGTACCTAAGTTTTACTAAAATGTAATCCTTTCCGGCTGGCTAAATTCATTACAATAATTGTACCAATACATTTTTTAAATTTTGGCGCCAATTTTCATCAGCCGTTTCGATCCGTGGGTGTTATAAGAGGCGAATATGAAATGTCAGAGAAATGCTATGGCTTATACGTGATGATACGTTTTGTATGTAAGTGATGTAAAATACTTACTTATTCATACTAGTGACGGAAAGCAGTGTGAAAAGTGTGAGACATCTAACACTGTGTGTGTGAACGTCATTCCGTGACTGTGGCACAACCCTACCTACAATGAGAGAGGCACATGACTAGTTTAGCACTGGCTTATAATAAGTTCAAAAAATTGTAAATTATATATAATTATCATATTGTACATATTGAAATAAATAATTTATTTACAAAATTAAACAAACATAACATTAAAGCTTAGTTAAAAATACTCGTTAAATCACCGCATCCGTTGGTAGCTTGCCCAAGCGATTTGCCTCGTTGCATCGCGTGGCAAATTCTCTGACCATAGTACGTTGCAATGAGATCGAAGGTAGTCTAGAACACAGTGTCATAGATACGAGGACAATTTATTTCGGATTGCAACTGTACTGCTGCGTCACGAATTTCGGCTTTACAGGGTAAGGACCACGCTCGCACGGACTACGAAGTTGCCATTATATCATCAAGATAATGCTGCTGTGTTTCGTACTGTAAGCGACAAGAACCAGATATCCTTTATAATGTTAACGAAACATTCCACCATAGTCATCGGGGTGACGCCATATCTGCATTTTGATATGTTAATCGAGGATACATGTATGTAGGATGTAGGTGTGCCACAGTATACACACACCATTGAGTGGACTGTGTGCTGGTTTGGATCCTTACTTCTATAAAAAATCACACCGATGATCTGAATTCCAAGTCAGAACTGGAGTACCTGGCGACTGCGTCTCTACGCAGTACTCCAGTTAGGCCAGGACCAGGATGCAAACGTGTTAATAGATGAGTTTATTTTGTTGACATTAGTTCAACGTAACGAGTGCCATTAAAAATATTCTCAGTAAACATTTATACCAATTTAAAGTACCGCGGCTCTTTGTTTACATTATGTGTTACTTTTCGTTTACATTAGCGGTTGATAGAAATAAACATGCTTCAATCTTGAGTGGTCTGTGTTCATAGAACTGAATATTTGATCTAAGTGTGACTGCATTTCTGTCGATACGTACCTGTTTTAGTTAGAATTGAATATAATCGCCACGGAATGACAACGTAAAAGTTCCATCTAGTTATCGTAGACGTAAAATTTTCTCCAAATCGTTAGAGCCTCTTACGAATAACCTAGCATATTACGTACATAATAAACAAGAATTGTTCACTTAGAGTATATGATTGTAATTGTTTAAGAATTATTAAATACATAAAAAAATAACACTAAGAGAAGATATCTTCTGTAATATTTTAGAGTGCATTATATAAATATATATTTAATTAAGTTTAAAAATACCTTTGCTCTGTGAAGAACCAGCAACGCACTGAAACATACTGAGACTTTACAATTATGTATTATATTGTACATTTAACTATTCAAATTTTATAAATAGATTGATAGTATCATCCAGGCATTACTTTTGATACAATCCTGGTTTAAACAAATTACCTGTCTGTGAAATATAGCAGCTTACTGCTTTTGTGTTTCGTATGGTAAGAACTGGAGACTCTTTTTATTGGAAACGAGGCATTTCGTCTTAGTCTAGTCCTCAGGGGTGACAAGGCATTTTAATAATTCGCCAAATAGTAGTGCTCCCGTTTGGAGGGTATCGAGAGCGAGTATAATAATTACAGACATTGTTTCATGTTGGCTGCATGTATCCAAGGTCTGCAGTAGTCACTTAGTAGAGCCATGCTGCAGCTATATTATTGTTGTAGCACGAATGGGTCGGCTCGACAGGGGAAGGACCACGCTCTCACAGAAAACCAGCGTAAAATAGCAGCTTAACGCTGCTGTGTTTCGTATGGTGACTGTAGAGAACCGGAGACGCTTTTTTCTGGCAAAGAGGCATTCCATCTTAGTCCTCACGGGTGACAACGCATCTGCATCTTGAGTCTCTATTGAGGATAGATGTAGATGTCTATGGGTCACAGTAACCATTTACCATCAGGTGGACTGTGTGCTCGTTTGTCACCCGATCCTATATAAAAAAAAGGTGAAGTGTACCAAAGTTTTATAAAGTTTTGACGAAAAGTTTGAATTCTGAAGTGAGGAAAGTTTAAAGAGTACTTAGATATTTCATATAACCAAAATATCATATTTACAATGATTGAGAAGGCCCTAATATCTTTTTGATTATTTCGTATCGAGGCAACTAAGACAAACGCAATTTCAAAATTAAAAATAATTAATATATCAGTGATTAAAAGTAAAATCTAATGGCAAAACAACTGGTACTGCGACTGCAACATTTTTCTTAGCTACAAGCTAATACAGGACTATTTTTTTTTATATATATAAGACTGACAATATTCACATGTCAGTAGGTGAGTAGTTCATGAACACCTGCATCCGATTTCAAATAAAGTGTGGTACAGATGCGGTGTCTCGTTAAATCGTTGTCTGTCAAAGATTTTTTTTGAATTCTAAAAGACTATTAAACTAGGTATTTGGTATAGATATAATATGTTACAGGAGCATGTGAATATGTATTATTTAGTATTTGTTAATCAATAATATAATATAATATCATATAGTTTTATTATTATTTACATTTTACTCTTTACATTCATTTATAATTAAAGTTAATTTAGTTGTAACAAAATAATGATGAATTTCACGGTCTTCTATCAATTTACGGTATAATGTTTACCTATTTGCAATGTGTCCTATTTAATATTGATTGGGAACATAAAATAGATGTAAATATTTTTTTTACGTTCGAGTAGACTTTAAAATTTCATAAATGCAGTTCTATAATGATGTATACTACACATGGAATAAAACTAATGTTACTTATTTTATCACGTTTAATTTTAACTTTTTTTACGTGGGGTTTTTTTACGCATCTTTGATTCAACTTCAATTTATGTATTATCATTCCTAATTAAATAATATAACTCTTCCAAATTTAAAACGATATTTCTACAATTATTTCATCTGCGGTAACAACGCGCCGGGTACCAGCTAGTTATTTATAAATTTGCTTACATATTATTACAAATTTTGAATGTTAAGAATGACGGTGGTAATGTTTGAATTTTTGTTACAGCGGTGTCCCTTGAAACACTTGTGGAGAATTGTCATAGACTACTAGAAAAATTTCACTATTCCTGGGAGATGATGCCCCTGGTACTGGTCATCCTCAACTACGCCGGTAGCGACCTCGACGAGGCGTCACGGAAAATAGACGAAGGTTAGTGCTGTTCCATGATTATTATATAAATTTCAAATTATTTTTTGCCGTGCAGACTGCCTCTGCGATTGTTGATATTTTTTTTGATTTGTACATATTTTGTTAGTTAATTTATATTTACTTCATATCTCAAGTGGCAAAAAACAACACTAAACTATTTATTGTATCAGCAAAATAATTGTGTAAATTTAAAATTATTAAGGATACAAATTTTATACATTTTAACGCGTTAGTTGTAATTTATTGTAACGTCCCAAATATCTATTGCTTTAATGACTTTATGCAGTTGTTTAAAAAATTATAATCTGTAGATGAACAGGAGAACTATGACATCAGAACGTCTTAAATCCGCCGTAATATTGGCTACATGTACTCGTATTATAGTAAGTATTGTTTAGTGTGAAGTATTCGCGTACCTGTAGTAATTTATAAAATACTTAGTTATTTTATTTTATCAACATAAAAATAATATAAAATAAATAGCAAGGTACTATTTTGTTGTTGACCGCGTGTGACAGTATTAAATTAAACGTGTCATAGTTTAATTTTTATAAAATTTTAAGATATAAATTTAAAATAATGTACCGGGCAAACCTAGATTCTCCAGGTCTTCGAGCATTACTCGTAACATAATATATGTAGATAATAACATTTAAAAATATTACTATATTGATTTCATATATTTACACGAATATTGGATAAAACTAACATTACGGATTTTATCGCGTTTAATGTATTTATTTTTTTATTCCCGACGTTTCGGGTGTTTTACAGCACCCACGGTCACGGGGTGACTGAGGTGTTTGAATTCTCGATATCATATTTAACCCAGGCTACCTGCAGCTTATGGCTATTAAATTTTGATCAGATCTACACAGAGTGAGCTTACAGTATTTGGAAATATTGTAGTGGTATGCTTAGGTTTGGATTTATTTTATTAATTATAGAAACCCAAGCAGACGGTAGGACCCAGTCATCTTCTCTATTGAAATCTGGATAACAACCACCATGGTCACGGCGGGTGACCATGAGCGCTGTAAAGTTATGAGTAATCTTTTTCACAGCAAATTATTTAATTTTTGCATACCATTAGTGTAAATATGTATAATGATTTCTTATATTTACACGAACACTACACATTATCAATACCATTAGTAAAATGAAAAGCTTAGTAAGTTTTTCCTATATTCATTGTTTAGCCATTTGGGACATGAGTTATTTACATATTTTTGTTGTAATTCTTATTTATTTATTGTTATTGCTTAAATGTAAAACGATTTACGAGTATAAGCGATGCTAAATTATTTTTCATTTACATTTCTGCAATTGCGAACTGTATTCAATAACAGTAAAAATAAAGTAAAATCTTTACTGTTATTATGCACTTTTTGAACTTATATTTTAAATAATATATACTACATTTAAAGACCGAACTAATTTAACAATGGATTTCCTAACGTTTCGGAAATATGCCATTTGTTCGATAATGAAGTGCTTTTTCATACATGTAGTGACCAATTAGCTTACAGTCTATCTGATGGTATGTGGATGCTGTTACCAGTAAGCGCCTACTTCTATCCTCGATTAGAAACCAAAATGTAGTTGCGTTGTCACCCCTGAGGACTAAGATGAAATGACTTGTTTCCAGTTAAAAAGCGTTTTCGGTTCTCTACACTCACTATACGAAACACAGCAGCTGTTTTACGCTGATATTGGATGAGAACGCGAACTACACTCTAACCAACCCATTCATGCTGCAGCTGTATTACACATCTGCAGTGTGACTCTAAAATGTTAAATTTTAACCGTTTTTTTAATGCATTTTTTCAATTTTATGTCTATGAAATGATATTTCACTACGTTTTATAAGAATTAAAAATCGAAAAAAGAATATTCCTTATGAGTTATGTTAATATAACTGTAGCAAGGCTCTGCCACGTAAATTCTTCACTTCAAACAAAGAACAGAAATATTTTATATGGACATACAATGTGACCGTCTGTGATAATAAAACCAGCCAGCAGAAGATATTTCACTTAATTTATTTTAAAAATGAAGTTTATTTTGAATATTTTTTTTTTACATATTACCAGCCAGTGCTTGACTAGAATCCTACCTGGTGGTAAGTGGTGATGAAGCCTGAGACGGTTAAATCGCACCGTCGTAGTCAAAGCCTATTCACTCATGTTTTGTCATTTTTTGAATTATATTTCAGAAAAATAACTTATCGGACAAATGCGTATTAATTATAAATAATATATTTTTTCTTGTTATTTCAGTAAATACTGACGCTTTCAATTAAAATGTGATACATTAGTTCAACTTTAGTTCGTGTCTAAAGAAATAATAAAAAACTGAGTTTGTTTCATTGATTAGTATTCTAGTTGATTCGATACAATCTATCTGATAACGTAGTATATTTGATTGTAAACGAGCTAATTTTGCAAAATTTTACTCGTAATACGTTAATTATACAGTTTAGAGCAAACTCGGTTTTCCAAGCTGCTGTGCATGCGAAATTTTACATCTTAAAATGGAAATCCTTTGCTGTTAAAATATTTGTGTTTATTATATTTAATGTTGTATATGAAAAGAAAAATATTTACAAAAAGTAAGGAATGTTGTTTATGAAAACAAAAACTTGACTAGTCGCTTTGAAAATGCTTGATTATTTATTTTAATTTTTCAAATAGGCTAAAAGAATAAGAAATGTTTTGAATACAATTTGTTTCATATTTTGGTATACAATTCCTTTTATTTATTGTTCTGCAATTGTCTGGTTTGGGCCTGAGTATAACCTATTGTAGGTGGGATTTGTCTTCATTAACTACATATTTCAGACGAATTTGTTATTTTATTTTATATTTATTGAAATTATTAATTATTAAATAATTGTCATTATCAAAAGTAATACTTACATGAAAAATGAAGCAGGCATTATATACTCCGTGTCCCCGTTTTTTATTTCCACGTTACACTAGAATACGTTTTTAAAGAAGAAATTCCGAGGAAACTGTCCATGGCAGTGAATATTTCGCGGCCAAAATTCCATTTCATAGGTTTATTATACTAGACATAGTATACCGTCAACAGACGCCTTAAAATGCCATTTTGTTTCCTTTTGTGGTAATCACACACGACAAAGGGACCAAATGGGCCGATGGGATTCACTTACACCTCCACTAAACGACAATTTTATTCATTATTCATGTTTATATTGTGATAAGCTGTACACAAGCGAATTAATGCAGCTATTTAAAAGAGTTGCTTTCAATCATATATTAACAACGTGAAACGATGCATGCATTAATCGGCACTGTAAATGCATTACATTATTCATACGATTACTGGTTACTTACCGTAGCCGCCCATAAAGTTACTTTCTAATGGTGCTTTTAATGGCAGACTATATTTGTTATTTGTGGTAGAGATGGCTTAAATTATTTGACAGTATTTTCGTTCCTCGTTTCTTAATCCATCCACATGGGCTTGTTTAGCTATTCTTACCTAGTTTTCATTTAAATTAATTACTACATACAATTTTTTCAACGAAATGGGGCTTTTAATGCACCGTATCTAATTCAGCAAAACGGTAAACGAATGGAATCATCTGTGTCTTTCTCTCTGCCAAAGAGTTTTTTCTCTGATTGTGACACTGTCTTACGGAGATGATTGAGATTTGTAGTTGTAGTTATGCAATGCGGTTACCTAAATACAGATGTGAGGTTCACGTTGTGAATTAAGTGGTTATCTTTGGGTGCTAAAAAGGAAATTTGGTAAAAAAAAATTGTGATGTTAATAAAAAGTCCGTGCTCCTCGACCTATATCCAAAATTATAGCTGAAAAAAAAATGAATATATGTCATCAGATACAGATTTTCAGAACGTTATTCAAGGTTTAAAAAATCTTCCTCTCGATATGTTATCACCGTATGACCGTACTCTAATTGTGCATAGCAAGCGTTTGAACGAGTTTTAAGTGTCTATTGTCCTTATTTGCTTTATACTTAAAACTGAGTAACTGTTAGTAATTAGTGAGTCTAAGCCCAAGGTATGTTATTATAGTATTATTTTTTAATAGACTGCTTACCAAATATATTGAAATTAGGTTATTTTGGAAATAGATTTTTTCGTAGTGTACATAATATTTCTTCCATTTGAGTATTGGTAATAAATTTTCATTAACTTATCGTAGTCGGACACAGCGGAATAAAAAGATAAAACAGTCATATATCCGGGAGAGTGTTCAAGGTTTTCAGTTGTCTTCATAATTTTCAGAGCTATCCTACTATAGGTGATAGATTTGAATGGTCTCAAGCTTAGAATTTATAAATGTGTATTGCAGAATAATATACACGGGAGAATTTTATTAACGAGTTAAATAGCTTTAAATGACGAATCTGGTACAGTAGATAAAAATGGATTTCGATGATTACGTTAACATTGTTAAAGATGTCCCGACTTCATTTACATAATACATATTTAATGCCAATTATATAAGTAAAAAATAGTAGATAATATTATATACTAAGAGCATAGATATTACTGTATTATATGCTAGGAGTATTACGAAAGATAATAAATAATAATAAAAAAAATGTGCGCCATAGCGTGCTTCAAAATACAGTCCTAAATTTAAGTTAAACTGTGATTCTTTCTTTTCATATTACACAATTTACTGTTACAAGTTTATTTTTAAATGAGATTGGAATGGTATTAATTGTAACAAACCAGCAATAGATTTTCATTTATTTATATTGTGTATTTGAATTGAAGGAAAAAGCTGCAATGCATTTCTATAATCACACAATGAAGTTTATTTAATTTATGTACGTAATTACTAGTATGTTTTAAGCAAAGTAGTTTTTTCCTTCAAATGTGTGCTAGCGATGTGTTCAAAACTACCATTGGTTGTCTGCAGGAAAGCTGATTGTCAACGAGTACGCCAGGAAACACAATTTGAACATCTTTGATGGCCTCGAGCTACGGAACTCAACACGCCCGTACGGACGTTAATACAGTAATATTAGTTGTTCTAAAACACGCTACCACCGAAACTGTACAGAAGAACACTCTCTTAACATTGTTAAAAAAAACTGAAAATGTTCAAGCAGTTTAGTATAAAACATGTCGATCAACTTCTGTGATGCCAAATGAGTGCATAGCATCAAAATAAAATCATTATTAAATGCTACATGCACTAATTCCAGTACTATCGTGAACCACTGATAACACCAACTTTTTAAGGTTAACCTGGAGTGGTTAATGAAAATATTAGTAATGTAGCATTACTAGTATTTTTTATTGAAAAATAATCGTAATTCTGCAATTAAAAAAGCATTATGTACGTCCTTTTATCGAATTTAACCTCTCGCTGACTGAACGTTACTACAGATTAAATATAAACACATTCACTACCAACATTCAAATGCGATGCTTATGTTGAAGGCATTTAATTGAGAGTTTCTAAAGACATTTTATAAATCAGATTAATACTTTTATACGATAGTGAAACGCATTTACGTGATGAAAACAAAAGTCATGTATTAGTGACAATACATGTTAATCGTTTTCGATACATTACACATACACACATTAACACACAATTTAAAAAATACATGAATAATTTATTTTTAAAAGCAACATTCACTATCACATTGCATAGTGGTCAAAGGCCCTTGGATTAATATAATATTTGGATATTAAAATGCATGAGATGAAAATTTATTTGCGATTATAAATTTCACAATTCTTTTTTTTCTATTTATTTATATTGAAAATCACTTTCTAAAACCGTCTTGTGTTAATATTTATTTATTAGTTTAGTACAAAAATATTTTATGAATAAAGAGAATTAAATCATTGACGGCTCCGTGGCGCAGTGGCTTAGCAATGAGTTGCTGCGCTGGGGGGCGCGGGTTCGAATCCCGCACGGAACAAGTATTAGTATGGCCTACAAATAATTGTTCCGGGTCTGGATGTTTGTCCTTGTGCAATTTGTGTATGTAAACTGCCTCCACGATACAGGAGAAAATCCTAGTGTGGGGTAACGTTTTTTTTTTTTAAAAATTGATGTATTATGGGTCCATTATAGCATCTACACGTATTCCTAGACCTATCTACATATAATCAAGAAGTAAGAAACAAATAATAATCAAGGGCTTTATGCTTAACTAGTTTTGATAGAAAGAGACAGGTAGATATACTCTCATGTTTTTCTTTAAATTTTAATTAAATCATAATCTATATTCTTATAGAATAATAAATACTGTAAGGTCTATTATGCAATAACTTAACATTATTTCTTGCGTAATGCGCAATAATACTTTTGTAACTGTTTGCAACAAAGCATATTGCAAATTTATTTTCGTCTCACAAAGTAATGACTAAACAAAACACTGTTGCATTAAAATCAATCATACAACTACAAACCATTACACGCAAGTATGTTGAAGAAATGTCAGCGAAATAAGACTAAACTGCACAGTACACTAACTAACCAGTAGTGATTTCCACTTTACAGTGACCGGACGAAGGTGGAGAAATTCGAAATATAAATAACAAATAATTAGTGACTCTCGTAATTCCCATTCCGTTCGAAGCGAAGCGTCCACGAATAGTGATGTGCTCGTGCGTGATATCGATATTATTTTATTTAGTGTTGTTTTCTTTTTTGTAGGAAAATGCTGAGCGAAATTAATAATATAAGTGGTGTACTATCGTCGTCGATGAAGTTGTTTTACGAATGATACTTTATTTTACAAGTGCGGTGTTTTGTGTGGACGCGTGCTGTGCGTTGCTGCTTGTTGCGAATTGTGCCGGACTGTTGATCTGTTATTACTACGGACAAATAGGTGAGTTATTTATTATATTTAAACTTATGATATTTTAATTATTGTACATGTGTTTGTATTGAATGTTTTAGAAACTTTAAAGGTGCCACCTCAATTTTAGACATGTTCTGCGTTAATATATATAAGTATTCATCAAATATATATTGTTGTACAATGTATATCATAAACAGAAACGGAATTTCAACTAGTACGTTTTTATCAAACTGAGGTGACAAGCAAATTTACAGTTCACCTGATGGTAAGTGACTACTGCAGTTCATGGACACCTGCAGCCAACTTCATACACAGTAGGCTAGAGGTGCGTTGTCAAGCATAAAGGCTAAGATGGAATGCCTCACAATCTGTAGTTATACTGGACCTCCATACTGTTCAGACTAGAACACAGCAGCGCACGCACTGCTATTTGGTGGCAGAAATAGGTAACAAGGTGGTACCTACCAAATGGAATCTGAAGCAAAAAAAGAAGCTTACCACATAATTAATAATTATTATTTTAACAGGTTTTAAAATATTTTTATAATGTATTATATATTTATATAAGAAAAAAATCTCGAATTTCAAATGTCGACAAGTCAGTCAGACACCACTAATAATCTTATTCCATCATATATACATCTATACATATAAATAAAATTGAAGTGTCTGTCTGTAATATCGATATAATTCTTGAGATCAGGAGGTTGTTTGCATACTAATTAATGGCATGACATGAATAAACATTAGTAAGTTTTATGTCTTTTTGTCTGTCTGGGCCAATCTTCGAAATGGCTGAACCAGTTGTGATGAGACTTCATGGACAGATACAGATCAGTGCCAGGGGTGATCTTAGCTTTTTTATTTTATCAGAAAATCTTGAAGATTTTTTGTGAAATGTAAAATTGATAAAATAAATGGCCATTAATGATTACTTTAAAAAATCTAAATGTCCCCACATAAATAGATCCCACCGAGGCGAAGCTAGGACGTGTCGCTAGTTAATAATAAAATATTCAGTCAGAGGTTTTTATGAAAATTACTGACAATTCGTTCTAATATTTTGGGATTAATTCAACATTCGACTGGCATCCTACTCAACAGTGTGTTTCTATTTTTATTTCTTGGTATTTTGAGGTGTTTCCTTTAGGTATGTCTGAAAAATATCTTAAAAAGGAAAAATCTGAAAATGCTATTGTTTACTTTTGATACAAAACACATATTATACTTCATTTTTGTTTTACTACTTTAATTTACTTTTTAATAAAATACAATTAAAATATTTAATGAAAAAATAAATATTAAATGTCCAAATTAATTCCACTCTTGATATAATTATTGTCATATATATGTTAGCACTGGGAAACCGTACCTTAAGCTTATCTCAACGCATAGTTGGCCATTTTTATTTTTAAAAAAAAAACATATATTATATTTTATCTATGAGAACTAGCTTTTCATTGTTTAAAAATGGAACTCACCTATAATAGAACATATCGTGCCGTGTTGAAGAACTATTTTAATGTTGTAGCAATAAACAGAGATTTTATCACTTTTCCGTTTATAATATTTTATTCCTCCACCCTAAGGCCTCGCGACTATAACTTCGGACGTTTTATAATATGCAATTATGGATTGTAAAAATGTTAAGCGGAATCTTCTTAATGGCCGCCGTTATAAAAGAAGCGAACCCTGTAATGAGCGCCGTGTAGGCAAATTGTATTTTACTCGTAGATTCCCCGAAGTGCAATAAAATTTTTGCAATTATGTTATGAGTTCGTTTTATATAGGGCTGTTTTCTCGAAGTTCCAGATATGAGTTCCTTAGTGTGTCCGTATAATGATGTGATTGCACTGTGGGCTGTCGTTGAAATTAAACGTAAAGTCGAATTATACCACGTTTTTATTAACTTTCGCTTTCATCACAAAAAAAAAACGCGTTCTGTCGATACAAACAGATTTGTCTATTCGATACAAACTTTGTAAATGATTTTAAACTAACTTCCCGCTGAGCTAGAGACTTTAAAACTTTAAATCTAGCACAGAGCTGGATGACAATGTAATATAAAGTAACTTTTTTATCTCTCTTGTTTGTAAATTGTCTGTTGAGTACAAATATAACAAACGAATTTATACTAAAATACCGATGAGTTTGAGATTTCAAACTTTAAATATAGCTCAGGAGTAGAAACATGGTAAAAATGGTTGCATTTTAAATTATGTACACTGGACCCCCGGTAATCCGGTCCCTGTCTAATCCGGCACCCCCTGTAATTCGACATGGTCTATTATTTATTATTAGATATTTTTTGACAATCTTCGCAAATGCATGATTGAACAAATTATAACTTATACGCATGTGATGAAGATAGCGGTGCGGTCTTCAGAGTACATATATATAACATATTATAGAATATTATCATTGGATTTGGAATTTGTCGGATTACAAGGTGCTCTTTTATAAAAAATTCCGGACTATAGTCTTAGGCAGTACTCTATAATCCGACAAATTCGGTAGTCCCACACTGCCCTGCAAAATGTTTGTCGGATTACCAGAGGTCCACTGTAATGTTTCCCAGACCGAAGTTCGATCAAAGCGGTCAGTTTCAACGGAGAGTAGCTGTATGTGAGCAAGCACAGGTGCTCTCTCTATTCCCTCACTATCATATTCCCATGGGACGGTAATTCGAAACAACCGAGGAGAAATCGGACGCAGGACCTCTACGTGCTTTTCGAGGCACGGGGGTGTAACACCGCCAACGTCACACACTCGTAGAATTGCTTGTCAGAAAAATCCAAAAACTGATTTTGACCCGACCGGGTATTCGAATCCGGTATCTCAAGATCATCAATTTCATTTAGACAAACTATACCAAACAGGCAGTCATTTTAAAATTAAAATAATTTACTGATACACTGCTTGTGGTAACTGGTCTGTTCGGGCTTGCAATACATTTATTTTTAATTCTGCATATTTTTTTTTGTTGATTTGTATTGTTTTTTTGTTGTTGGATGTATATTTTTATTTTAAAACATGCTTTGATTACTGACTCTTTTTCAATTTTGATTAGAAATATTATATCATTGGCCTTTAAAAAATACAAAAAAGAGGATACCTGCGGAGTTTGTTCTGCCGTTTCTTCACCGAATAGAGGAGCCTCATTTTGAAACGATTTGACAAACAAAAATTTAATTTCCTACGTCCTAAATAAAATAAAATCATTTTATTCAATGTGAACAGAAAATACGTAACTCGAATTTTTATATAAGTGATCAGTTATATCTGGTAGAATTATATCGAATTTAGATATTTAAGAAAAAATTTAAATTCAATATTTTACAACTTTCATTTTATTATGTTACACTCAAAGAGTACCTACATAATCCCTACGTTTTAGGTACACTTCTATTGTACAGTAAAAAGTTAAAGTTTTGTAGACATGCGTTTTGGTAGCATATGAGAAGTCGTAAACTTACAAGTAAGGCCTCCTTTCGGTATAATCAGATGGGTCAAATAAATGAAATACCCAGACTGACGTCCGATACAGTGGCCGCTAATTTTGAGTGCCAAACGCGGCGATTATAGCAAAGCCTCACTCCAATGCGAGATACCCGTTTCTTCCAAAAGCCTGCAGATAAAGAAAGGTATTTAGTTGGTAAAAATTACTTCGCGTACATCCGCTCGATAAAATAAAATGATGTGTCTTACCTAGTTTGAAGAGCACCTCCCGCCCTCCCTCAATTGAGTGCACCGTCACCACTAATCGCAGCACCACTACTCCCAACACCACTACACTAGGAAAGAGACACACCACTGACGACAATACGACACGTGTTCCGCCTCTACTCGAGGCATCTTCAGGTGATCTAGACTGTGCGGTGGCTGACCGCTAAGAATAAATATGTAAAGCTAAAAAAACCAGTAAAGAAAAAGAAGTTCATTGATCTTTGACAAATTGTGAAGTAATAGATATTTGATAGAATACTTACCAAATTAAGAAGGAGACAAGTATGACAAAAAATAATTATAAAAGTTGACAAAAAATTACTATGCGTACATCCGCTCGATAAAATAAAATGATGTGTCTTATCTAGTTTGAAGAGCACCTCCCGTCCTCCCTCAATTGCGTGCACTATCACCGTCACCACTAATCGCAGCACCACTACTCCCAACACCACTACACTAGGAAAGAGACACACCACTGACGACAATACGACACGTGTTCCGCCTCTACTCGAGGCATCTTAAGGTGATCTAGACTCTGCGGTGGCTGACCGCTAAGAATAAATATGTAAAGCTAAAAAAACCAGTAAAGGAAAAGAAGTTCATTGATCTTTGACAAATTGTGAAGTAATAGATATTTGATAGAATACTTACCAAATTAAGAATGAGACAAGTATGACAAAAATAATTATAAAAGTTGACAAAAAATTACTTCGCTTACATCCGCTCGATAAAATAAAATGATGTGTCTTACCTAGTTTGAAGAGTACCTCCCGCCCTCCCTCAATAGCGTGCGGGAGGTACTCTTCAAACTAGGTAAGACACATCATTTTATTTTATCGAGCGGATCTACGCAAAGTAATTTTTTGTCAACTTTTATATAATGGACTTCCGCAAAGTAACGCCTGATTCTATTAATTATCCAAAAAATAATTACCTGCTGAATTGTATTGACTAGGTTTTACTAAGTATCTACGCTAAATGAAATAAGCAATTATTTTAATTATTTGTTCCTTCTTTGAAAGAAGTAGTAAAATTTGCATTTTATTTATTTTCAACTAGAAATATTAAAACATACCATTTTCAACACCTAGCACTGTTATCAGTTGTACACCTCCGCAGTCTTTAAAATGTCTCATTTCAAGCTGTAATGGTCTCTTCTGCTAGACAATAAAGATAACTTCCGCGCAGCAAGCCTT